CTACATAATTTTGCAGAGTCCAGTGCAAAATGAAAGTGAAGGAGCCCCTATTCAAAAGCTAGGGATTGCACAAGAGCTACAGCAGAACATTAAAACAGGCACAGGCTCTTCTGGGCGCAGGTCCCCATGCATCTGAACAGGACGCACGTCCACAAGGCTGGCTGTGTTGGTGCAGTGTGTGTGCACCCTGGAGTGGGGGGGTGGGGGTTCAGATGGTGAGGAGATAGTGCGCATTCTAATCTACCTTGGGTGCTACCGCCATCCCGCCCTTCCTGCTCCTCAAAGCCATCTACCACCTTCGTTACTTGAGCTGAGTTTCCTCTTTGGCTGTTATTTTGGAGATGGCAATGGGATCCAGAGCCTTCCTTGTGCCCACTAAGCATGTGTTTCACCACTTAGCTACCCCTCTCCACTTCAAAGTAATTTTTGTTTGTTCTTTTGTTATGATTGTTGTTGAGGTGATCGCACCATATAGCCCAAGCTCACAATCCTCCTGCCCCAACCTCCTGTGTGCCAGAAGTACAGAAGTGCTTATGTCCAACCCTCGAAACTATCTTTTAAATTTTTTTATGTAAAATATGCATTTTTTATTTCTGAAATCTTATTAATTTGACTGGACAATAGGATCTTTGAGATAAGTATGCACCAAATCATTTCTCTCTTCTTTTCAAACCCATTGTCTTAGTTACTTTCCTGTCTCTGTGCTTAGTTATCGTGATAGGGCTACTTACAGAAGAAACAGTTGGTTAGGTACCTAGAGTCTCGTTTCAGAGGGTGAGTCCAAGATTGGCGGGGACCATGGAGCAGGCAAGTAGGCAGGCAGACAGGCAAGCGTGGCACTAGCGCAGTAGCTGGTCTAAAAGCACGAGGCAGAGGGCTAACTGGGAATGGTGTGGGCTTTTAAAACCTCAAAGCCCACCGTCAGTGACACACCTCCTTCAACAAGTCCCTACCTCCTAATTTTCCCAAGTTCTGCTGTTAGTAGAACAGCCTCCTCTATGCCTGTTGCCTTCTTTGTGGTCTCTTTCATTTATCTCACAGCAAGTTACTTTCTTTAAGCTTCAGTGAGGGTTAGCATCCACCTCTATCACACGCAAAGATTATCTGTATCTGCCTGTTTGTGCACAGGCTAGGCAAGCAGCTCCGTAGTAGAACACTTGCTTCTCATACTGGAGGGAAAGGAGGAGGAGGAACAAAAGCATTGCTTTTCTTTATGAATATGCTCTGCCTCAAAGCCAGGGGATAACAGTCTTCCTGTCTCTGACGTTCTAAACAAGATGGAAGTCACAACTACAGAAATAGTGCTGTTATCTGGTGCCAGGGATTTTAACCCGGCCCATCTCCTCTTTATACTTAGCTGATTTCATGTGCATGTTTTTTTTTTTTTTCTGGGAAGAATCTCTATTTTCATTAGATTTTGTGAGAAGTCAGATCCCCGGAAGATGCTCTGGGCTTTGCATCCTGTCTTACTTATCCCCAGGAGACCAAATCCGAAAAGCTGATTGTGTTCTCTCTGTGAACCACTTGATGTTATGACTTCAGGATGCATCTTGAACCTTGTTTTCAAGAGAATGTTGTAAACAAGCCCTAGGCTTAACAGGCATGTTGTGCCTCGTGAATAAAAATGCATCATAAAATTTCCTGTTTGAAAAGAGGCATCTGAGATCATTGCACAAAACACAGTGGCTTGCATTTTACTGACTAACGTTGGTAATACTATCTATTGTGTCTCATTACTTTTTTAAAGACCTGAGTATGACGATCCTAGTGTTAGGGATGCGTACACACTGTTAACTAAGAAAGAAAACCACACATTCAAAACAAACAAACAAACAAAAGCTCCAAACATTGCTAAGAATTGGGTTCAGATTTAGGGCCTAAAAAGAATTCAGTTAGAATGTGAAGAAGACATCAAAATACCATTATTCAGCAAGCTTTTAAGAGTATATGTATATTATGTGCATTTTTGTGTGTTTAGTTATCTGTATGGTGACAGCAAGTACACATCAACACTGTTTAAGAATTCTAGGACTGTGTGTGCGCGTGCGCACACACGTACGCACAGAGTGGATCCTCGTTAATTGCCGGGAAGATTTTAAACGTGTTTCTTCCTTCACTTCCTTGCTTGCTCGCTTGCCCAATGTGAATTTCCAACCACTGCGCTTGAATGGATGCAGTTCTGTGAAAATATGGCGGCCAGGACCCCACTGCCTCATTTTCTCTAGACCTTGAACCCAGAACATATTCTAGTGATTTTTCCCCCTGTACTTGTGATTAAGTAAAGTACCTAACTCATTTTCACAAAAAGGGAAGGAAGAAGTGGGTAGCCAGACATGGTGAATGCCTCATCTTCTTAGCACTCACACCCTCTAGCACTTTGGGGAGCTCATTGGCAGAGGCTGCCCACCCACGCAAACCACAATCATACAGACGCTTTCGAAGATTTTCTGACAAAATCCTCCAAGTTGCCAGTCTGGGGCTTCACCTAAAAAAAAGAATTGGCTTGCTTCTCAGGCGACAATCTCTGAAGTGCCAGCGCGGTGAAGAGCGCCCAGGCCGATAAGACTCATGCCAGGGCGCTCAGGTGAGGATTCCTGGCACAGTGCCAACCCTGGTGCACACACAGGAGCTCTGGTGGAACCAAGCCACGGAATCCTTCCCTCCACCCTTGGGTTCACTTCCTTGTTGAAACCATCCGTGGCTTAAAAAGAAGGGGGGCAGGATGGGTAGCAACAAGGGTGTGGGGGACTCCAGGGCGTAGGTCAGTGGACAGAACTAAAGCGGAAAGATCAGAAGTTCAAGGTCATCTTCGGCTACTTAGTTTCACAAGCCAACCTGGACTACAGGGATCCTACTCGAATAATAATAACAACAACAACAACAACAAATTTCGACTAAGAATACTTGGCGGTCATGTCTCAAACCAGAGCTAACCTCGGGTCACCGACTTTCCTCAAATGCGAAGCGAGGAGGCAATGAGATTCAGCCCGGGCAGGATTCTCTGCAGACAGTCCCCTCAAGGCTGGTAGGGACTGGTGAGAAGGAGTTCAGCTCACGAGACTTGCCCTGGCTGTGGGCCAATGCCCGGCTGTCCTTGACCTCCTGGGTTGACCGAGGCTCGGGCCAGGGAAATGAAAGTAAAACCTGACGTGGCCAGCGGGAAGTTGGCGACAGGTAGGTCATATTCTCAGGGACTGACAGCCCCTGCGTCGACAGACGATCCCGGGAAGAAGTGAAAGGAAGGGCAGGGGGAAGAGACAGATGCGAGAAAAAACTGTGGCGAAGTGCTGGGGTTCCCGGGAACCCCGCAGCGCTGTGCACTACCAGGGGTCGGTGGTGCAGACACCCCAGCGCCTCGCCGAGGCTGCTGCGGTGACTGTCCCGCGGCCCAGAAGGCCCTAAAGCGGCCAGTTCGCCTAGCTGCAGCCCTTTCAACATTCGTGTCCCAAGCCCCTACCAGAACCAGAGCCTGGAATCTGTCTCCCCCACCCCCACCCCCCACCCCAGGTGGAACTCAGCTCTCCTGTTGTAGGAAGATTCCCCAGAATAAGTAACACAGTGCGGCCATTTCTCGCCCAGGTGCAATGTCCGCTCTTCAGCCTGGAGAGTGAAAAGTGGGTTGAGCCAGTAAGGCTCAGCCCAGACCTCGGTGTGGGCAAGGTCCGAGGGACACAATGCCCAGCCGGCTTTGCGCTGGGTCCTCAGAACTCTTAATGGCAGATCAGGTAGGAAGCTTGGAGGTCTGCCTGGGACGCTAGGAACAGGGCATGACTTGTCTGTGTCCAGATCGCCAGGACTGAGGACTAGGAGCTGGGGTAGGCAATGTCTTTAACTTTGGGACCTTCCAGGAAGGTGGTGGTTAGTGACACGGGAGACCTGCGAGCGGAGCTGCGCCTTGTCGCTCAGTTTGGCCCTAGAAGGGAAGTAAGTGAACTCAAGAATCTTGAGGAGCCAAACGTGTTCGAACTGATTCATGATGAATTAGCACATATCTCTGGGCGGGGGCCAGAGTTCTCCTCTCCCCCTTGACGAGAATGGTGACCCCTCAGCTCGAAGAATTCAGGCCGTGGCACCCAAGGCTTTTGAGTTCGGACGCTGGCTTCCCAACTTTGGTGTGACACAGCAATCAATATCCTTCCCTTCTCTGAACTTCACTTTAGTACAAGAGAACCTCAGCTCCGGAGTGTGTGCAAAGATCAGAAGAGGTTGGGATCTGGCTGGGATTTGCCGACGGTAAAGCGATTAACATACGTGAAGCATTAGTGTGCTCCCTGTCAGTCACTCCTCACGTTTACAATGGATGAATGAAGGCAGCCAGGCCAACTCGCAGGTTGTAACCTTATAAGGCATAATAGTATTACAAGGAGGAAAACAAAACTGTCTTCCTAGTTTTGGCTATTCCTGTATTTCCAAACTGGAATGTGAGTTCTGAATCTTCAGATAACTACCCTCTCCAAACCCCAGTTTTCAATTCGCTGCTCCCAGCTTTGTCCTATTACGAAATTTTACTAGCTAGCCCATCAAGAAACCCTTCAGTCTCGGTCAGGGGGTCTGAACCTCATCCTGCCGGGTGTACCCTGAGGGCAGAGGTGAGGGGTCCAGGCTCAGTCAGGTGCTAAGCCGGCAGGGGGCGCGGCCCAGTTGGGGAGGGGGAGACGACGACACAGCTCCCTAAATCCAGGGTTTAGGTTAGTCATGTGTCCCACCCGTCCCCAGGTTCTTACAGCTCTATCCAGAAAGCTCAGATCAGCATTCTGATTCTAGGAAAAAGATAGCCCCCACCCCAAATTGTTCTGGTCCTCCTTCCCGTCTCGCTGTCTGAACCCTATGCCAGGAAATTGAGGCAACGGAAGTCCCGCACCAGTATAATCTCCCAGGGCAGATTCCTGAGACCCCAGGCCACAAAGGACCTCTACCCCTACCCCCATACCCACGGGCAAGTTGCTGGGCTGAACAGATTAGAAACTAGCACTCTGGAGGAAGGGAGGGCTCCGGGGCAGAGCAGGCCCCGCCCCCCTGAGCGCGTATAAAGGGGCAGGAGCCAGCACTGGCTCTTCAGTGGTTTCTTGGTGACGCTAAGCAGAACAGCTCCAGCGTTAACCGCTCCTGGATTCTCATCGCTGTCAGTCTTGGACTTTGGGGTTTTGCCACTGTCAGAAGGACGTCTCGGACTGTGTCCTTCAAGTGCTTGAAAAATCATCCCTTCAGGAGGTAAGGACCGCTGGCCTCCAGCTCGCTGGGGAGGAGGGCGGCTTCACAAAAGGCCAAAAACTTGTAGCGCTGGACAAGGGGAGCAAATCACTTTGGGGTGTCCACTGCAGAGTACACCTCATGCCCCAAGTCTAGCTCTTGCACCCAGTTGGAGCTCTCATGAAATCTTTCCTCGCTGGGCTACGATCCTAGCAGTTGAGTTGGAAACCTCTGGAAGCCTGGCACTGTACAGTGGCTTCCTTTGCCTTGCTTGTCACCCACCCGGCCAGTGCAAAAGCCTCCGGCGCCTCTCTGTGCCAGGAGGAGATAAGCAAGTGAGCCCGGTAGAGAGCCGGCACCACCACCCCCAACACACACACTGCCGCCGCCCTTCGTGCCCCACCAGGACTGTGCAGCAGACATGGTTGCTCACACTAGGCTCCTTGCTCCTTTCCAGGGTATCTGAGCATCGCCACAGAATGAAGCTGGTTACCGTCACCCTGATGTTCCTGGGTTCATTCGCCTTCCTAGGCGCAGACACCGCACGGCTAGAGGCATCCTCGCAGTTCCGAAAGAAGTGAGTTTGGGGCAGTTCTAATAATAGCAGGCAGTAAGGGAAAACCGACGGATGGCCCAGAGGGGTTAGAAGGGAGTGGATACAGGAGCTGACTGGGACACTTCGAACACATGCCAAACGCATCTGCTTGCTTGTGTTTTCTAGGTGGAATAAGTGGGCGCTAAGTCATGGGAAGAAGGAACTGCAAGTACCCAGCAGCTACCCCACGGGGCTCGCTGATGAGAAGATGGTCCCGACTCAGACTCTTGTTCAGCTCCAGGACAAGGAGAGCACATCTCGCACCCCACAAGCCAGGTAACTATGCCTTCTGCAGAGGATGAGCCCGCTCCACTGCCCTGGCCCGGGGAGTTTTCCCGGCTGGACTGCAGCTCTGGGGGAGGAAGCAGGTTCCCTCAGGTTCGGCGTGGATCTGGTCCCAGGTGGTTGGGACCAAAGCCCTGGTTGATTAGGTCTCAAGTATCCTTCTCCCTCCGCAGCCCTCAGAGCATAACCCACATTCGAGTCAAACGCTACCGCCAGAGCATGAACCAGGGCTCCCGCAGCGTTGGATGCCGCTTTGGGACCTGCACCGTGCAGAAATTAGCCCATCAGATCTACCAGTTCACAGACAAAGACAAGGACGGCGTTGCCCCCAGGAACAAGATCAGTGCTCACGGCTACGGCCGCCGGCGCCGGCGTTCCCTGCCAGAGATCCTCCTTGCCCGGACTGTGGTGTCCTCCCAGGAGCAGACACACGCAGCCCCAGCCTCCCAGGCGCAATCGAATCATCTCCAGGCTCTTTAGGAGTTAGGTGCAGTGGCAGCATTGAACAGTCGGGCGAGTGTCCCATTGGCGCCTGCGGAATCAGAGAGCTTTCGCACCCAGGGCGGACTGAGACAATCCAGCAGAGATCTGCCTGGCTGCCCCCAGGGGAGGCAGAAGAACCCAAGATCAAGCCAGGCTCACGACAGAAACTGAAAATTACAGGCATCATCCTTCGGGCAGGGGTCTGAGCCACTGCCTTGCCCGCTCACAAACTGGTTTCTCACGGGGCATAAGCCTCATTACTACTTGAACTTTCCAAAACCTAGCGAGGAAAAGTGCAATGCTTGTTGTACAGCCAAAGGTAACTATCATATTTAAGTTTGTTGGTGTGAAGAGGTTTGTTTTTTTTTTTGTAACTTCAAATATATAGAGATATTTTTGTACGTTATATATTCTATTAAGGGCATTTTAAAGCGATTATATTGTCACCTTCCCCTATTTTAAGACGTGAATGTCTCAGCGAGGTGTAAGGTTGTTTGGTTCCGTGTGTGTGTGTGTGTGTGTGTGTGTGTGTGTGTGTGTGTGTAAGGTGGAGAGCGCCTGATTACCGCCTGTGGAAGAAGAAAAAACATTGTGTCTACGTATAATCTATTTACATAAAATATGTGATCTTGGAAAAAGCAAACCAATAAACTGTCTCAATGCTGATTCATTCTCTCGGCTCATCCATTTGGGGAAAGATGGTCTTGGTTTAGATCGCCTGGGAGTGTTGGGATCTTGCTTTTTGTTTTGGGAATCTCGTTATGCGCAGGCTTATCTTTCACGAGTTCTGTTGTCCTGTCCATGTGGGTGCACAAGGTGCGTGTCCTGGGTGGGAGGCAAGACACCGCCTCGCGTGGGTAGGATGAACCCTAGTAGTTAGGCGAGCCTGGACTCTCTTGGTTGCGCAACACATACTCAATTTTATGGGCTTGCTCACCGAACCTGCGCCAAAGTGCTGTTTGAAGACTTATGGGGATCTTCGAGGCTTTCTAAGTAGAAAGTTTATGCTGCAGCTGTGGGACTTAAAGTTAAAAGCTAAAGTTAAAAGCTTACCGCTGTAAAATGTTCGCACGTCTCTTGGAAACCCTCTGCTAATAGCCCCAAGTCCTCACTGGGCCCTAACATCCATAAATGGAGCTGTGGCGCCCCCTGCTGGTCATCGTGAGTGGTCCCTCAAGAGCGGTGGAGTTGTACGTGCGATTTAATAAGTTCTCCTACGTGGGAGTCAGCACACAGCCTTAATGAAAGAGGAAAGAAGAAAAAAAAAAAAAGCACTTTGCAGATGCCAACCAGGCTCCCCCCGACCTGCACGCGGGCTCCCTGTGCTGAGACAGTGACTCAGCGCCCACACGCTGTGCAGCGAGCAGCTGCCGGCCGGAGGCGGGCGGGACGGACGTGCAGCCGGAACCGTGCGCCTCGCAGGGCCTGAGACCTTCATTGTTCTCCCCTTCCAGCTCTCCTCTTCCTTCCTCTTTCCCAAGCCTTTTTCATGCTCCTTCCATTTCTCTTTGGCCTTCTCTCCCTCTTTCCTTCCTCCTTGCTTTCTGTTACCTTCGTATCCTGTGATGTGTGCTTGACCCTTAGCTTGAAAACCCAGAACACAGGGACTATCAGAAAGGGAGGCTAAGGCGGTGCCATATACGTGCCTACCTAGGAGGCGCCGGCCGATTGTTCAACCAATCCCTGAAGATCAATTATTGTGGTTTCCTGAAAGTTTCGCTGGCGTTTGAACTTGCTGAAGTGCCTGCACCTCTACCTGGTTTAGTATCTCTGGAAACTGGAGGATGGAAGTGTTTGGGGATGGCATTACACGGCCCCCAGCTATGGGGCCAGGTATTTTTTTTTTTCCTTGCAGAAGAAAGCCTATATACACAATGAAAAGCACTGGTCCTGAATCTGAATCCAGACGCATCCTGATTAGAGGCCTCTCCTGCTTCAGGAAAAAAAGCAGGCACAAAGAATCCCGCCGCCAAGGCTTCGGCTGTGTCGGCAGTGTTAGTCCCATCCAGTTCCACGTCCTATCTGATTAGAACAATTTCACGAGGCTCCCGGCAGCAAGTAGGTCACAAGTGCAGCAACAGACCCTCCTGGCCTCAAGGACCCCCTGTTAAGTATTCACTTTGACCTGTGTCAGACACTGAAGGGGCACAGGGCATGTATGAATAAGAAACGACTAGAAGCTGCAATCCCGCCATTTCGGTGCCGGTGGGTTCAGGGTGGTCTGAAGGGGCTCCAGAAACTGCTAAGAGCAGAGACCCCTTTGGCCTCATAGGCAGTGGCTCAAGCCAGTCACTGGTTTTCTTTCTTTAAGCCAACGTTTGTCCTGTAGCCACAGGGCCCTCCAGCTAAAACCTTACTCTGGCAGAACTTCAATCTGCCAGACAAAGCTGCCAAAGACAGGTTGGGCACCGGCTTAGGGGCAGCTGGGAGCAGGGAGCAGGCATCTAACCTTCATCTGAGAGAGTCTTATGACTCAGGGAATTTAAGGCAAGTAAGTTAACTACAGTGGTTCAGCCCTGAGAGCGCCCAGACAGCTGCTCAGCTGGAGTCTTTCCCATGGCTAAACCTGTGACTCGAGACGTTTCGGAGCAAACAGAGACCCTCTTATGACCAGCCTGGTGCAGCATTTGGGATTAACTAAAGGTCACCATGAAGCTGTGGGTCCTGCTCTGGGAGCTGCTCAACTAGCCTTCTGGATTTTTTTTTCACAAGGTGTTGAGGGTTATCGGGATGGGGCCTCCTGATGCCAAGAACATGTCGTTTATCAACAGCCCTGAGTCATTTGTGAGCTGACTTGAACCTGTCCACAGCCGAGAAGCCGGCGGAGTTTTTATCTGCAGCTACTGTTGCTGGCTGTGGGAAGGGTGTCAGCCATTTGTAATCAACCAAGGCTACCAGACAATTTCTTGAAACCTCAGCACCAACAGGTTGTCTGAACAGCTAAGGGTGGAAAGGAGAGGGGTGGGGTAGAAACCCATTCCTTTTTTTAGCACTTACTCTGGGTCAGACATTCTCCTAGGCTCTTTATTCACCTTATCTCACTGAGTTCTTTGTGAAGTGGGTGTTATTATCTCTATTTGTAGATAAGGACCTGAACCTCAGAGACAGAAAGTAACCCAGGCAAGGACACACAGTGAGTAGTCACTGGGAGAGCCTGGATTTGTACCCAAGCGTTGCAGGCTATTTTGATGCTACAAAGACTTAAGTAAAATGAGATCATTTTAACCTTTAGTTTCTCAGGCCAGATGTCCCCAAATGTCCTCTGACTCCAAGGATGGCTTGGGTAGGTGATTTACACCTGTGGTTCTGAGAGTTTCTGTCGGCCTAGGAGGCTGGGAAGGATACTCACTTCAGCAGTGAGTTCACTACATGCAAAAGAAAGAAATGAAGGGAGTCTTAAATTCTTGGTCTTAGTTTGAAGCAGGGATTATAAATCAGGAATAGTCTTTTCCTATCCTGAGCTAAGCCACTGACCTCTTTGGTTTGCATTGCCAAATATAGTTAGAACATACACTGAGCAGCCTCCAGAGCCGGCTTGTGAGAGAAGGGCCTTCTGAGCTATTCCTGGACGGGCACAGTCCTGCCCTGTAGTTCTCCGGTGGCCTGGAGGAACACCTGTGTCTACAAAACTGCAAATAGCATGTCCACCCTGAAGATGGACCTTTTGTTTGGGTGTCTGCTGTTCCGAGGAAGGGAGCTACACAGCGGCCCCTCCTTTCCCCAGCAGAGGAGCAGGAGGCCTCCTTGTCCTGACTTCCAGCTTTGCCAAAGCTGGGTTGGAGACTTCATCTTCATTTGCATGGGAAGAAGGGTGAGGCTGGAGAGATATCTGGTGGTCCCACTGGTCTTGCTCCAGAGCTATTTTGGAACATTCTGGAAAAACAATAAAATGACTGTGGCGGCCACACAGGCAGTTGATTCTAGTAGGTTATTGGTTTATCTAACAGCAGAAAGTATCTGACCTGTTACATAGAATTTATTCAGCGTAGCAAACTCACCTTTATTCCCTAGCCAAAACCACTAGTAGCATTTTTAGTCTATACTTGTTTTAGATACTTTAATACAGTACAGACACATATGTTATAGACACGTAGACATATACATCTAATACACAGACACATGCTTTTAAGAACAGAACTTTTGGGTGGGGAGAGCTGACTTAAACACACTTGTCAGTTTAAAGCATTATCAGTACCAGCTGCAACATTTCTCTCTTATATTTATTTTACATATTATATTATTATATATACTGTATATTGTGTTATATATATATATATATATATATATATATATATATATTCATTTTATGCCCTTACTGACCCCTTGATGGCGGCCCTATCAAGGATTTTATTTTTGGCACTAGACTGCTATTGAGCTTCTTGCTCCTCCTGCCTTCACTTCCTGAGTGCTGGGTTACAGGTGTGTACTTTTACACATGTTTCTGAACAGCCCTCCTTAATAATGTTTGATATATGTATATGTGCAGGTGGGACTGTGAAAGATATCATTTTACACCTACATGCCTTAATATATAAAGCTATTGTTACATTTTTTGTCACTTCCCAGTTTTTTTTTACTCAACACACATAAGAAATTTTACTACATTTTATTTTTCTTATTTTTTTTAAATTAGTTTTAAAATTTACTTCTTTTTCTCTTGTGTATTCATGCTTCAGTCTATGTGCACCGTATGCATGTAGGTGGCTGCCGAGGTCAGGGAGCATTTGATCTCCTAGAGGGACAGGTAGTTGTGAGCCATCTGATATGGGTGCTGGGAATTGAACCAGGGTCCCCTATAAGAGCAACAAGAGCTCTTAGCCACTGACCAATCTCTCCAGTCCCCCTCATCTTTTTTTTAGCATACAACTTAAATTTATTATTATTTTAGTGTGTGTGTGTGTGTGTGTGTGTGTGTACACGCAAGCAGCCATGCCACCACACGCTTGTGCAAGTTAGGAGGAAGCTTTCGGAAGTTGGTTCTTTCCTGTACTATGTCCCAGCCTCAACCTTAAGTAGCTGACCACTGCCCCTTCTCATTAGCCCTTTCTTGTCTTTCAGTGAAGGGTACTTGGGTCACCTCTACCACAAGAAACAGGTAAATGAACGTCCAGTTCCATGTGGAGCTGAGTCTGACTTTAAGAAATCAACTTAAGTCAACTAATTTTCACCATTTAGTCCAGAGGCTTCTGCGTGCAGATGATGCTAAGAAGCAGGAACTGCCTTTGAGACTGTCTTGTACTAGTTTCTGGCCTTACCGGCAGTGTGTGAGACTTCTCCTTTCCCTATGACTTTGCCAACCCTGGCATAAGGAATGCCTAATTATATATGTCAGCTTGCCTGGGCCTTGGGATGCCCAGCTAGCTGGTAAAACATAATTTCGAGGTGATTCACTGAGGGCGTTTCCAGGGGAGATTAGCATTTGAATCAGCAGACTTAGTAAAGAAGATTCACCCCCACCAACATGGGCAGCAACCATCTGGTCTACTAAGACTGGTAACAGAACAAGAAGTGAAGAAGAAAGGGAAATTCCCTTGCTTTTCTTGAGCCGGGATATCCATTTCCTTCTACTTATAGACACTGGACTCTTGGTTTTGGACAGGGCTTACATCGGCAGCATCCCATCCCCAAAGACTGGGAACTACAACCCAGCTCCTCAGATTCCCAGG